AGTAACATACTCGTTTACTACACAGAAAACTAAATATCTGTCTAAATGAAAAAGCAAAGAATATTTCTTGTGAATGAATCATATCCCGAATTTGAAGTTTACTAAAAGCAATTATATTTTTTTGATACTCTTATAAGAAACAGCGTACCATTTGATGGTGTTTGATCACTAAACAGCAATCTTTCCTTTACATGAACATTCACCGTTTTCTTTTTTGTTAATACATAAATAAATGAAATGATTCTTTTTTATTATCAAAAATATCAATTTACAGTAAATATATATTTTCCCAATCCCTATTTGAGATTCGATTGACTTAATCTTCTTTTTTTGTTGATAAAATTTGAAGAAAAAAACGTAAAAGTAAAAGTACATTTTAACAATAAATCCAATCTTGATGATCTTTTGGTCGACAAGCTGGTGGACAAATATTGTTTGGATTCAGAGAACCACTAGAAGTTGTATTAATACAACATGGCCTTATACATCCAAGAAAACAATTATCAGGCACTGGTCGTTGAGAAAGAAATGGCTGACCACCCAATGTATCACAATTATAACTATCGAAAATCAATGCACGTGTTTTAACATGTTGCCAAATATTGTCCGAAAGAAATAATTGATCACCCGCACCTTTATATTGTCGAGCAATTGATGGTACGAGCATCGGTTGAAAAATATGAAATAAATAACGACGAGCACGTGCAGGAGAGGCACCCCAAAGTCCACCTAACATAACTATATTGTGTTGTTTATTATCACGTGCAATATAAAAGAAATATTTTCTCCGTTTATCAGATAGCCACATATCAATTGTTTCGGTTTCACGCTTCATCATAGGTGAATCGAGGTCACGTGAAAGATAAAAATCAACAAATGGATCAAATATTGGTAAAAAACGCCACATTTTTCCTGGTAAATATGAAACTAATGATGAACCAAACATTGGTATATTGTGTATATCACATATATCAACATTTGAAAAAGTATAAAGAAATTATTGTTGAGATTTTGTACTACCAGTAAAATCAATATAGAGACGAATAATCCATGATGGAAGAAGTGTTTTAACTTCATTAGCAAGTGGTATTAAAAATGAAACTATAGATGATTCCCATGCATACATTGCATTATCAGTATAGTTTGATGATGATCCATAAATTGAAATACCAATAACTTTTTGATTGGGTCCACGACGATCTGATTGAATACTACATAATGATCGATTCCATTGAGTAAAATTTTTATAAAAATAACTTTGTTTTTTTTCTGAGGGATTCACTAGTTTAATTTCTGAAGTACGTAATGGACTAGCGTCTTGAGAATTGAGAGATTTTATCGTTACCGGAACATAATAGTTAATACTTCTTGTTGCAGTATATCGATTTGTTAGAGTTGATAAAAAATCTGGATAGAAAACAGTAGTAAAAAAAACAACGAAAAAAAGGCTTGCTAAACCAAAATTTTTTCGTCCACATATTTGACGGCAGTAACATTTGAGCATTTTTATTTGTATTGTCATAGCTGTTTCGTTGCATATTAAGAATGCAATGACGTGTGACTTTTACATAGCACAAAGAAAGCTTTATTTGTACAGATGCAGTTTTACTTTTCTTTATAGGCATCAGTGCACACGAGTATATACATGGACATCAGGTAAGGACAAGAAAAGACCTTTTTACTTTTATTAAACTTATATGTATTACTTAATTGGTGAAAGCGTTTCATTACTAATGTGAATAGCCTATTAAAACAAGACATACAGAGTGTTCCAAAAGCCCTTGACACTTAGATTTTTCATATAACATAGCTATTTAATTTGACTCTATCAACTATTTTTTTAAGTTATAGGTGGATACACCGAGTTTTTCTTTATATGAACAAACTTCCGAAGTACCATTTAAAGCTATGACCTTTAACAGATAAAAGAAAAATTCATGGATGATATTTGTTTTAATTGCTTGAATTTTGACTTGATGCTATTCAGTTTGTTTTAGTGACGACAGGTTAGAATAAAATTTTATAAAGAGACTGTTTAAGGATTCAAGAATTTAAAGATCCGAATCACTAGATAACCCAATGTTATTAAAAAAGCCACTTGTGTAATGTATTTTTGAAAAAGAAAACAGACTAAATTTTTCTATCTCGGTTAAAGATCTTAGCTTTAAATAGTACTTCTGGAGTTTGTTCGTATAAATGAAAACTCGGTGTATCTATCTATAGTTTAAAAAAAAATGATTGAGTCAAATTAAATAGCCAAGATGCACGAAAAATTTAAGTGAATGGGACTTGTGCAATAACCTGTATATATATTCAAGTAGCAGAACTGACTATATAGATTTTTTTTTTGTTTCTTAGGCTTTCTATTTCACGGAATTAGAATTTTGAACTTTCTATTATTATATACAAATATTCAATGTCATCTCTGATAAATGATAGATATCGGTTTATTTTATCAAGAAATGCTCATATATATTTTATCTCCATATTACAACGAACGATACTGTAAATTCACGTTTTATCCTTACATTGACAGCAAAAAATGTGATTATCAACATGGAGATGAGTTTATATATCTTGAGATTAA